TGGTGCTACTTCATGTTTTTTTAAGTATTTCTATATAAATAAAATAAAATATTACAGAAAAAATAGCTTGTGTGGTGATTTGATTGGGCATGAGTAGAGATTGGACTTAAATTTATTTTTCTCACTTATAATGAAACAAGTTCAGAGTTTTAAACATGTCATATTAATATTACTGGAAACCTTTACTTTGTGAAGGCTTCCAGAATAATTTTTCCATTGAAAATGCCTCATGCCACTTATTTGAAGAGGAGAGTTGATTTATATTTTTAGTCTGTAGGTTATCCACAAAAAGTTGGAGAAAAGTATCTTTTCAAGTGTTATTTTTTTTAATAATGAAAATACTTATAATTTCAGAATAACTGCTGTATTTAGCAAATTCATGGAAATGCAAATTATTTATATCTTAAACTTTACTTCTATGTGCTAATCTAAAGCCAGGTAACATGAGAGACTCCTTTGTTGTGATACATAGATAAAGGGCTAAATCCTGCAAACTCTTACTCCTAAGAGTAATTCCAGTATTTCCAGGATCAGACCCTGAATGACAAAATATTTTCTTGAGCAGAAGAAGGGTTTTAAATCAGGATCTTTTCCTAAATTCCTGAAACTGCTTCCTGGTATTTGGTGATTGTGGTGCAGGCTAATTGGTGTTGACAAGTTTATTTGAATAAACAAATTATTGCTTTGTAAAGTTTGTTGACTTTTAACAATGCAAACTTGTGGCATAAGAGTGAAGAAAGTATACAAGTTTCCTGACTTAATCGGCAAAGCCAGACATGTAAACGTTGCAGCATTTTTGTATTGATTGTATCCAAACTGTTTAACTGAACTTGGTGCAGAACCCATGTTTGAGCATGTTTTATATAGCAGACATGGCTACATTTTAAATGATTGTTTTAAAATAGGCCAAAGCACCTTTGTAGCAGGATAGCAAAAAACCTGTAACATAGTTTATGTGCTGGACTTTTTATTTTATATAATTACCTTTTTATTCCATAACTGTCCTGATTTCTTTTATGCAGCCCATTTCTTCTGTGAAATGTTTGGTGGTTCTGGTGTGTGTGTGTTTATTTTAACATTTCCTTGGGACAGTTATGCTGGGGTAAAAAACAATGATCAGGGGGAAGGATTTGGGGATACAGGGTATTTGAGCCATCCCCCCCCGTGTATATTCTCAAATACTCTAAAACTTTGGAAAAATGGAGACTTGAAAGGATTATTGTTTAGGCCCAAAGTGTAGGTTTTCTCAATGACAGGTTTTAGAAAATATAATATAAATGTTTAAAATAGTCAATTTGCTGTTTGGATTTAAAATCCTTTCCACAGTGTTTGGGCCCTGTGTGTGCTAGTGTATGTGAGTCAGAAAGTGTGAAAATGCTTATAAAGAAAAGTGAATCTGATCAGTCCGTGTAATTTTCCAACCAAAATGAAATAAGTAATTAAAAAACAAAACTATGTTTACTTAAATATTACAGTGCAACAATCAATGATTTTATCAATTATACTTTTATCTTTCTTTAATGACCAGCACTTGCATTGCAGGTCACGAAGTTCGTACTGACCTGGCCAGTATGACAGGCTCATCATTTAACACAGATTAACTTGATTCCCTCTCCTTCCCATCTAACTAAATGTAACCAGGCTTACCTTCAACATCCATCTTGCAGGATTTATTTTGTAATTTTCTTCATCAAATCTATTGTAGGTAAAACAAAGGAAATCCTGTGTTTATGGCTAAGATCCCCTTTTTGGCTTCCTTGCAATATTTCCAGGGTCTGGAGATGTAGATGAGCTGGTTTTAGCCCACAAAAGCTTATGCCCAAATAAATTTGTTAGTCTCTGAGGTGCCACCAGGACTCCTTGTTTTTGCATGTTCTATGTGTGTGTGCCATTTTGAAGAGGGATCATGTCCCTTTGCAATGCCCACAGCACCTACAGTGACCATGTGTTAATTTCTCTTCAACAATCACTTTATTTTGGGGAGGGACTAGTCTGGATTATCCTCATTTAGCCATGGGATGATGTCCTATCTCTCAAATGTGTGCATTGACAGCAGCAGGAGCTATGGAGGCAGTAGCTCTTCTGCATCCTATGTTGGCAGCCTCAGCAGTCTCTTGTCTTAAGCAGTTCTACCATCAGTTCTCCATGCCTGCTAACAGCTTCTGGGCATAACCCACAGGTGGAGGCAGTCTCTGAGGCCTAATAGCATGTACAGTGTTCACTCTATTATGTGTTGATCCTTGTTAGTTTTTGTGCCCGAAACACACATCCTCTGCTTGTTGTTTAAAATCCATGCTCATAGGCTAGTATAGCCCCCATTGTATGTTAGCAAAGATTCGGCAGAGAATGACATGCAGATGACCTGTGTACTGCCACGCATATTGGGCCAAATTCTGTGCTGATTTATACCCCAGTTAATTCAATGGGATTTTAGGGGCTATAAATCAGCACAGAATTTGGCCCAAGAGGGACAATTTGCCAAAGGAATTTGTCCTAGAGGAGTGAGACCCCCCCCCCCCCAAAACACACACACACACACACACACACATAATAAACTGGAATATGACCGTATGTTTGGTACAGGGGTATGTCAAAGCATAAAATTGAGTACTTGGAAATCTATATTTCAATATTTATCTAGCAGAACAATGATTAGTTTGTTTTTCAAGGGCTTCTGAGTGGTTGGGGCCGAGAGTTGTGGGTAAGGTTTAAAGACCTTGCTCAGGCAAGTGGTTCTACTGAAGACATCTGGGCTAGCCATGACAGAGTAAGGGCTATTTGTGTAGGTACAGGTGGCAGGACTGAGCCTTTAATGTCCAAGGGAAATGATTTTTTTTTCTTTTTGGTGGCAGTTCCAATTTGTTGGCTGAAACCAGAGAGAAATTAAGGATTCTGTGCATATTCCTCTGTCTGTTTTTACTAACGTACAGTACATGGAGAGTACACATATAATTAGTTTGAAAACAGGAGAAATTTACCTTTGTAATAATTATATATGAAGGTCCACTCTTTCCTCTGTCCACATCTTGTGCTCCCTAGAATTTGTATATCAGTCAGACCTCAAAGCGAGTGCAGGCTTCCTCGGAGAAAGGTCTTTTCTACTATATTATTTTGTTATAAATTATAATGATCAGTTTAATCTCAAATTACTCTCTAAATATATTTTTCAATAAATTGAAATGAAACTTACCAGCAAAGTCTAAAGTTAACAGCAAAAAAATCTGTATAAATATATATACATTGAATTGTAATTGGATTGCTTTTTCTTTTACTTTCCCTTGGTTATTTCTTCAATAAACTCCATTTTGGAATGTGAAATCCTAACCAAGGTTGCTCCTGCTCTCATTGAAATCTATGGGAGCGTTGCCGTTTAATTAATTGGGAGGAGGTCTATGCCCTAGTATTACAGAGGCATAAACTAAAGCTCCCTAACCCCATCCTCAAGTTGCCTACACTTGTGTATTGTATTTCAGTGGTCACTTTGAAATAGAAAAAGTGATTATTCACACTACTTCTACATATCAGTGTTTCCTGTGCTCATTGTCCTAACAGAGAGGCTCTAATTAGGCAACAAAGACTAGTTTAACTCCAAAGCAGTTAAAGTACATCTGATGCTTCAGAAGATCAAATGTTTTGAACTGCTGATTCACAAGTTTATTGTAGTCCAACTGGCAACTGACAAAAGGCCCAAACCTGCAAGCTGTGAAGCACTTTCTTTAAGGTGCTGGGTGCCCTCAAATCACTTTGAAGTGAGGAGGCACTCCCTACCTGGCAGTGATGAGTCCAAACGCCTCTCTCCAGTGCAGGTAGAGCAGTTTATGACCTCTGAAGTCTACAGCAATACATGCATGAGTATGCAGTTATCTATACACATAGATAACTGTATGGATACAGGTGTGTCATTATAGACTGATGACTGCTTGAAAATCTCAGCTGAGTACAGCAAAATATGGATAGTAGAGTGATTTTTGGAAATGTATGTTAAAATCCTATTTGAACTCTATAAAAGAGTTTATTGCTTAATATCAATGATTTCAATGAGTTTTTTGCAGTTGTGTATAATAGAATAATTAATAGACTCTAATTTCTAAATTTGATTTAAAAGTACAAAGGTTACGGTTGCTTAATTTTTGTGGAACAAGCTATATTCTTATGTACTATACAAAAGAAAAATTCAGATTTTAATCAGTGTGGTATATAGAACATTCTTTACTTACTTTAACTGTATTTTAAATATTTCAGCCAAGATTTGCACATGCAATTATGGGATTTGTGTGTGCAGTTTTGTGAGAACAAATCAGGATCAGAGCCTTAGAAGCTACTCATGATCATTTAGACCTTATAGCTGAATTTCAGTCCCACTGAAGTCAATGGCAAAATTCCCATTGGAGCAGGATTTGATCCTTTCAGTAAATTTCACTATGGCAAATAAAGGGTGTTTGCATATAAATCCTGAACCAGTGTGTACAGATAATATTTGTTCCCAAAATGTTTTTGTAAGTGAGTTACTGTTACATGTCTCTGCTAATACGAAAACGGTGTAATTATTAGTGAAGAAACAAATCAATTAAATACAAGTCTTACTAAATGTATCCGTAACTTTACTGCTGCAGGTATGATTGATTTGCTGTCTGAAGATCTTTATAGTCTTCTATAATAATGTACCAGGAAAAGTGGCTTGGTTAGCTTTAAATTGAGGAAAAATTAGAGATTTTTATATTTACTATTACTGCCTTTCAGTCTCTGATAAAGTTAAAATACAGTAAAGTACTTTTGCCTTTTAGCTGTAAGGGTCTTTCTGCCACCCATATCTGGGGGAATAATGTGGCCTACTTACATTAGCATGAATGGGAATTGCCTGTGTAAATCTACCTGCCATGAATGGGTGAATAGAAGATCTTGTCCTTTAGCTTTCCCTTTGTATTTTTGTCTCATTCACTTTTATCCATCACTACAGGTGCTAATTTTGAACCTGCATTAATGGTGGAAATGCTAGATTT